GCGCCAACCCTGGGGCTTCTGGATGTTACTCGGTGAGACGGAGCATAGCGTCTTTATTACTCGCCGCACGGCTCGGTACGGAGTACGTTGGCCTTGAACTGCAACTGCATGATAGAGTAATAGGACGGCAATGTTGGCTGAGACGAGGCAAGGCATGCAACGCCTGGTGGTCGGCTGCGGATCTTGTCGTTGGTCAAGTTGGGCTGAGCTGAGCTGGAGAGTTCAGTACGGAGTAGGTGATATTGGTACTAACCTTGCAGGCCTGGATGAGCGGGAGCACCAATGGCGCAAGACGTCAGATGCAGAGCTAGATTGGATGCCAAGTTTGGATTCCACGATGCTTGGGGAACATGTTGCTCAACGGTTAATCGGTCTGTCAACTTCGAACATGAGCGCTGCAACGTCAAGATATGTAGTATACCAGGGAGTGGCGCATGGAAACCAGTCGACGGTGAAGGCAGCACTCGCTCAGCCGTCCGGTCTGGTATTTCCAAGTTTCACTGGTTTACGCATTCCATCATCCGGGTGAAGATGGCCCAAGGTCAAATGGGTGTAGAATCTTGGATGTCTGGCTAGATTGACCCCACAATCCCACGGCTGCGTTCAACATTGAAAGCTTGGCTTGCCCGGCTGGACCACTCAACAGCCTCGGCTATGGGCCAATGGCAGCGCATGGCGCCCCCACACTAGAGACACCTTTACATCGATGAGAGAAGATTCAGCACGTTTAGCACCTGGTGGCCGCTGCTGCTCCATCGGCGCCTCTCAACGTTGAACATTGATGCTTCTGCGTCTGGCTCTGCGCCTGCAGTCTGCTTTGCGCAGCTGCTCTGGGCTCTTTGTTGACGGGGGTCGTTGGTTAATGCATGTGTTCTTCGTTTGCCTTGCCGGTCTGTCCTCGGGATCTGCGCCCTGTTTTCGGCTTCAAGCTGGGTGACGACGAGGTCCGGTGGACCAGGCCGATTATGTATTTGCAAGCAATCAAGCAATCAATCAATCAACGAAGCAAGCAGGCCTCGCGTGTCCACGACGGCCACGCCAGCTCTCCACGCAGCCTCCAAGCCCTCTCTCTTGTTCGAACCCACTCCTTCAGCCAGCTCACGCCCTTCTGCTGCCATTGATTCTTTGCTCCATTTTCTGCTCTCCTCCTCAGCTCAGCTCATGCGGAAATGCCCTTGGCCGTTTTGGTGGCAGCCTCGCCCACAGCCTGTCGACTTTGCCCTCATCTGCAGCCTTGGAAACCCACTCCCTCTCCGCTCCTTCTTTTCCCTCGCTGGCCAATTCTCCCGGCGCAGGCTTTGAGGCCAATCAATGGAACTGCTGGCAGCCTTCTTGTTCTCTCTCTGGTCCGCTGCTGAGCTGTCTGGCCTTGTGTCGTCAATCTTTTCGTGTCAAGTCTAATCAGGCCAGTTCCGCCTTGTGCTGGCCTCGAAAGTTTGCAGTGCCACCGTGACCCATTTCATCCGCCTCTTCATCGCATTGCACCGGCACCAACCAACCCGCTCCACCTCGTTTGGTCCTCGATACGACGGCTCTCTCGTACTCTTTTTATTTCCCTCTCTTGCTTTGTTTTCTCTTTGTCGCCAATTGCGCTTCGCCAATTCTACTGCCGCCGTCTCCGCGGCTCACCTGTCCATGGAGCCAACTACAAAAAAGAGGAAGTTGGCTCCAAAAGTCAACTCTTCGCCGGCCGCCAATCCTCCGCCTACTGTGCCCAGTGCTGCCTCTGCTTCTTCTACAGCTACAGCTGCGGCCACGGCCACGGCCACGACTGCCGCCGTTGCTGCTGCCGTTGCTGCCACTGCCCAGTACACCCACGAACCATCGGTGAGCTGTGAAACACCTCCGCCATTCTGGAATACTGCCCAGTCTTCTTTCTTCAGCGTGCTTGCGGCACAACCCAGCTAACACGATGCCCAGCTGTCACAGAGTCAGCATTATACAGCCCATGATGTGCCGCTTTCCGAACGACAGGACTTTGAGTCCTTTGCCCGACACCTCCAGGATGCTGCCATGTTGATTCAGCGCCAAACCGAAAAACCGCCGTACGGAGATGTCTCTGTTTTGCTCTTGAGCTGGGAGGAGGATCATTCTGTGGATGACGACGTTGTCGCCTTCGAGCAAGTATTGCAAAATAAATACAACTACGCCACTCAACGCTGGCAAATCCCCACTGTACCAAACCCGAGTATCAAACTTGGTGTGCAAATGGCATCATTTCTTGAGAATGCCCGGCCGAACCACCTGTTGATAATATACTATGCGGGGCATGGCTATGTTGGTGTCGATGGCCATTTGTACTGGGCTTGGTAAGTCTCGTTGAGCTGGCTATGGCGTACCCGTGGCAATGTCTGACTATTTGATGTACAGCAATGGCCGTGAAGATGCTGCCAAGCTCAAGTGGGACGGAGTCAGATGCTTATTCGAAGATGCACAGTCTGATATTCTTCTGCTGCTGGACTCTTGCGCGACAGCTGATCCTCCAACCGCAGGCAGTCATGGTATAAAACAGGGCATCGCCGCATTCACTCCTGAACACGGCTCAAGAGAACAGGGAAGCCACTCCTTTACAGCTAATCTAATTGAAGCTTTGCAAAAATTGCATAGTGGACGACCCTTTGGCGTCAATCGGCTCTACGAGGAACTAGTGGCACAGAGGCAGCTCCAAAATGCACAAGCTACTAGACCTGCAAACCACACACCGGGCGCGCCTATGCAAGGCCAATTACCGCTGTTATTTACGCTGACACCTGGTCAAAGTCAGCATCTCATCATGGCGCCTCTGGCGTCGCGGCACGCCAGGCCAACTCAAAACGGCGGTGAAGCATCTGACGGCCAGGCCCCTCGAGCACGCGAGGATCACCTTATTGATCCGGAGTCTGTGGCAGACATCCGATTTGACGAAGCTCGCATACTGGTTTGTACGACATTTGTTGGCGATGCAAGTACCGATATGTCATATTTCAATCAGTGGCTCCAAAATACGCCACCACTTGGGTCCAAGATTTCGGTAGAGGGAATGTTTTTAGGCCCGCCAACGATGCTGCTCATTTCCATGCCCCATTCAATATGGAGTGTTGTGCAGCACGACAAAGTGTGTTGCTTCCTCGGATACGTGAGCTCCCACAATATGCTTCATCTGTATGAAAGGCTGGTTGGGCCCGCCGGCGTTCGGCCATCTGCAAAGGAGGTTGAGGACGGCAGAATATTGTTGGAGGCGAGAGAACTGGCGGCTGGTACACCTGCGAGGGTAGCACACCGGGACGCTGAACGCCACGACCACCTTTACCTCTCCTCTGCCCCTCGGGATCACCCCGAATCGCTGCCGCAAAGCAGCTCCTCGCAGGCAGCTTTTGGTCTCGGGACGCAAAAGCCCAAGGACGATGTGGAAGACTCGGCGGAAATGCAGGAAGCAGCAGAGCAACTCAAGGCGCTGAGTCATGTTCGCCATCGAAGTGACGAGGCGCTCCCAGTGGCGGAAAGAGCCCGAACCAACTTGCCTAGTGGGTTGTCCAACGAGGCGCCTCGATTGCCTCAAGGCACAAGCGACGTCGCGGTTGATGATTCGGCAATGTTGATGGATATTAAGATGACACCTAATTCAAAATCCAAGGGTCCTCGGCGATCCGTCTTTAAGCAAGAGTATCGATGCAATCACTGTAGTCATGCCCCATTTAAAGACTCGTCGTCTCTTCGCAAGCATGTTGCCGCTGCACACACGAGACCATTTCCTTGCGCATTTTCCTTTGCCGGCTGTACCAGTACCTTTGGGTCCAAGAACGAGTGGAAGCGGCACATTGCCTCCCAGCATCTCTGCTTACAGTATTATCGCTGTTCTGCTTGCCCGCAAACAGCGGCAGAAGGCAAGGGCAACGAGTTCAACAGAAAAGACTTGTTTACGCAACATTTGCGGCGAATGCACGCCCCCTTCCAGATCAAGCGAGCGATATCACAAGGAGACGGGCAGTTACAGTCAGACTGGGATGCACAGGTCAAGGAGATGCAACAATCATGCTTAGTCACACGGCGCCAACCTCCGCAACGAGCAGCATGTCCAAAACCAGACTGCCGAAAGGAGTTTGACGGAGCGAATGCGTGGGATGAATGGACAGAGCACGTAGGACGCCACATGGAAAAGGGAGAAGGACCGGTTCTTGGAGCGGATGGGCTACTGGCGCAGTGGGCCTTGGACGAAGGCATTATCGAACCCAAGGGCAAGGGCGATGGGGAGTACCAATTATGCACCACCAACGGACTGGTCGGGTCATCGCAAAGCAGTTCGGGGCCAGTGGCAGATCGGAAGGACTCGGTGATGATGTCGTTTACCACGGATTCATCGCAGCTGGAGGACACATTGATGGCGGATTCGAAGCCGGGTGATGGCGAGGTCGATACCAGCCAGGCTGCCGTGGCGTAGGGTATGCTCGGCTTGGTGTGACGGATATTCGAAAGCGCCGACGACAAAAAAAAAAAAAAAAAAATTCCATGTCGAAAACGGGATAACGATGTTACGAAGCCACGACTCATTTATTACTTTTATACAACATGACATGTATGGGGGTTGGGGAAAACAAAATATTCACTTGTTTTGATCATGGGCGTCAAGCCAAAAGTCGACGGGGTGGGGAGGCGTTTATCTTGTTGTTTTGCATTTTTACGACGACTTGCAGCGCATTTTTTATTTTGAGCAAGAAGGCCAGGCCGGAATATGCAAGAGTGGTGGTCTTGGCATTGGGTGGGCGGTATGGCTGGTGTTGCGATGCAGGAAAAGGGAATCGTGATGTACAATAGGAGTGGCAGTTGGAAGTAGCGAATCCATGTCTAGACTCTGAAGTGAGCGTCGAAAGCCGTGTGCATTGTGCATGTCAATTCTGAGCTACGCAAAGACGTAAAATGGCGCGGACGGATGTAAACATTCACGTACTATATTTGTATTTTACTTGAAAGAACGGACTCATCTCTCTAGTCTTGAGCTAGGTTTACGGAAAGTAACATTCAATTCACTTGCCAACCGTGTACGTGGCAGCCCTATCCAGCGTCCAGTCGACGTCGAATGAGCGGCTGTAGACACGAGACCCCCCGAGGGCGTGCGTCTGGGCGGGCGCGGGGTCGCGGCCCTCGGACCCCAGGAGGGTGATTTTGCTCACGCGCGCAGGAGGGCCGGGGTAGTCGAAGACGCCGCCGACCTCGAGGCGGCCGGAGGCGGCGTCAAAGGCAAAGGTGACGAGGGAGTAGCGGGCGCGCTGGTCGAGGGAGACGCCGTCGTCGAGGTACAGCTCGCCGCGGGCGCGGCCGCTCGCGTCAAGGGCGACGAGCAGCTCAAAGGGCCGGCGGCGCAGGTCGGTCGTGGTGAGGGCGGCGCCGAGGCGGGCGGG